TACCTGATTCCTCCATCTCTATGTCTGCGTCATCTACCCTTGCTATTGTGGATGAGGCAGAAGAGTCTTTATTTTGTTCGATTTCTTGAATATTTCTACTCTGACTGCTATTGTTCAGTTGAGTATCTTGTGTAATCATTTCTTCCACTTCATCGCTCCAAGTTGGTTGTTTCTGATTGGTTTTCTTTTCATTGGTGGTTTTTATACCTGTAGTTGAAGCTTGGTTGACATTCTGGTTCCTTTGTTGTTCATTTTTAGTGTTTTCTGTGAAGGTTTTTCTCTCTTTTCCTTTGTTTTTTGGGTTCGACTTTGTTATCTCCGTATGGGTTTCTTTGCATAGTGATCTTGTGTTAACTTTCGCTAGGGTGTTCTCATTGTAGTTGGGTCTGCTCTGTGTATATGAGCTTCTTCAGTCTCTAGGAGAACTCATCTTTCCGTTCACTTTTCTTCTTATTTCCTAAAATTGCCTAAAAAGGAAATTTTTAAGAAAAAAAGGATCTGTGGGAAAGAGTTTTTTTTTTTTTTGTTTGTACATATCTTGTAATACATTTATCATGTAATTATATTATATATAAATATTATTTTGTAGTAAATAAAGAGTATAGTATATGCACCCAATTACATGACACCATTGAATCACTTGAATATCAAGAACATAATCAGAGATTTGTGCCATCTAAGTTTTGACTAGCCTGTGAAGGACCCAAACATGGTAGGGATCATCCATGGAATGCACAATTATCAAATGATAAAGCAATATAAGGCAGAAGTATAAAAAAATTTGAACAAGTCTAAAGTTATAACTTTATTGTTATAACAATCTATCCAAAAGATTCATCATTTTATTAAATCATTGGGGAAAGTTACATTTATATATTTTTACACATAGAGCCATTATATAATTACTATGGCTATTCTAATATTATGCATATATAAATTATTTAATAGTCAGCTATTTTTCTATTACCTTAGCTCATAGCTTTTTTTCTTTTTAATGTGAATGAATTGTTTATGCATTCTTCTATTTTATAAAAATATGGTGATAGTCAGCAATTGATTGTTTCATATAAGCATCAGTCATGCCATAATTTAAGTTATGTGATCATAACGAAAATTCTGAATTTGTTCTGACTTCTTTGGCCTTTAATACTAGGGATCTGAACTGGTAATCAAAAAACAGTAGTTAAGCTAAAAGAACAAATACCTAAAAAGATCAACACAATAATATAAGCCCTTAAAAATAAAATTTTAATCAACAAACAAATGCTCTATATTTTAAATAACATTTGAATATCAAGGATAGAGTTTTGTATACAATATATTATACTATCCTAGAAAATATGCAATACTTTAATTATGGCTAATAATAGACCCTAAAGTATTTAATATATAAAATTTTGCAAATCACTTATGTCTCTTTTTAAGGAAAAAATTTATAGCTCTTCACTTTAATAGGGACAAAAGTCAAGAATACTATAAATCAATAATTTGAATATTAGAAAACAATTGTGAATAGTTTTTTTATAATTATGAGTTTAAAATTTTTAATATTTTCTAGTAAGAGATATTTGACTTTTATTTCTACCACTCTTTTAAGAATCCATATTTAACCACAATATATAAAAAGCTTCATAAAAACAAAAATAACTTGTACAAATCTATACCCAATAGCATAGTATACTATTCAAAGATTTACAACTTAAAGAGTATTTAGATACTACAAAAGGAAAATCAAATAATAGAACTATATAACAGACTAAATAACCCAGGATTAGCAGGATTTATAATAGTCATCAGAATCAACCAATACAAGTTAAATACTGGAAATCATTTAATCCACTTATCAGTGAATCATTAGATCATATACTAGATATAAGTAACTTTGCACTTCAAGTAATGAAATGGTTAGAGATATAGAATAAGGTTTCAAAGTTGAAAATAGCAAGATATTTTCAAATGGAATAAAGGTAACTGCCTAATCAAAGAGTATTTAGTACTAGATAAATATATGAAAATCATACAATTATATAGAAAGAATAAGCTGATTACATGGATCAGCTGATCATTTATGAAACTAAATAACTAAAAAGAAAATTGATAAAAATAAAAATCAATAATTACAAAGATAAATTCAGATCATAATAGAAGATAAACATTCTGGATAATAATAAGTGATAGGCATCAAAAAATAATATGGGAAAAACTAAGATCAGAAAAACTAAGTAAATATTACAAATAAAATACTTCAAGTATACTAAGTCCTCAAATAATTAAAAAACCAGCCTGACAAAATGTTTAGGATATGCAGAAGATAAAAATATGAAAAGTCAATATATAATAGAAACAAAAAAGAATAGAGCTTATGAAGTTTTCTATTTAAATATAAGGAAATTCACGAGAATAGCTTAGGAATTAATATTCCAAGTTCCAAAATTGTTTTAAAAAGAACAATAAGAAAAACAATCTAATATAATTACAAATCCAATCAGAACAATAGAGTAAGTTAAATAAATATAGAGGATTGGGAAGAGCAAATTATCAGAAATAATATTAAAGAAGGAGCATATCAAGACCATATAATTTAAATATTTCAACATAATTAATAGTCCAAAGAAATATTGGTTTTTTATTTTAATAGATCTTTTATTGATCATGGAAATAAAAAACTGAAGATAAGATTAATATAGGTACAAGTAGAAAGAGAGAGTAGAGAAAGTAAGTTTCAAATGGAGGTAGGTGACTGGCCATTATTTACTAGAGTAGAACTAGTAGTAATAGTCACAATATTACTAGTTGTTTCAATAAATAATAAGATCAAGATTTTTATAGACAATCAAGTCTATATTGTTAAATAAAAAATATAAAAAAAGAGGATTTCAGAAGAACTTACAAAAGAAATTAAAGGAAAAAAACTGGTCTTAATGGGGAAGAATATTGGATACTGTTAAAAAAAAAGAGTTAAAACTGGTCAAGGTTAAAACATACTCTAATAATTCATATAAGGAAAAAGTAGATACTCTAGCAAAGAAAGTTTTAATGTTTTCTATAATTGAATAAAAAAACCTTACTTTATTCAAAAGCATCATCATAATCAAGTGGTATGAAATAACTTTAAGTAATAATATAAAACAGTTTATTAAAAACATGAATAATAAAGTTACAGATTATCATTGGACAAAATAAAACAGGATTTCAAATAAATAGAGCCAACAGATTCAAGATCAACATGACTATATATGGGATTTGGTATGGGAAAGGATGAAGAATAGACATATTTAGAATATCTCCTTTAAAGATTCTTAAGAAAGAAGCTTTCTTATCAAATTAATCAATGAAAAGTTATCAATGCTTCCCAAACTGATCATAAGAAGACCAGATCTATATAAACAAGTAGAGTATATAATATTTAAACAGCAAGTAGAAACAATAGAACACTTACAAAATACCTAGCATATAAAGCTCAATGGTAAGAAATATGAAACAAAGAAACTGAAAATATTCTAAAGAACTTTTAAAAACTTTTGCATGAAAGAAAAAAAGAAATAGAAGATAAAGAAATAAGGCTTCTAGTTAAAGACAGAGTAGAATTAGAGAATTAAACAAATATATAGTCAGGCTTATAGAAGAGACCACAAAAATAGGCCATAATATGCTAAACTTCTGCATAGAACTAATGTAAATTCCTACTATTGGTATGACATTTCTGTAATAATAATTGAATAGCAAACTTTTCTCGAATTAATTTACCAACACATCTATTTTTATCGCGATATGAGAACCACCAGCGACAACATTCTCCCTGTTCATTATTATAGGCTATAGTCATCAAAGTAAGATCATTTTGATAATTATCATGCTCTTAAATAAGTTAGTTAACTTGATTTCGTAAATTATGTCGCTCCTGGATAATTTGATTAACTTGGTTCTGTAAGTTATCTCGTTCTTGGGTAATCTGATTGATTGACTTGGTCTGAAAATTATTTTGAATGAGCTGATTAACTTGATTTTGCAAAGCAATATTCCGTTGCCTATAGCCATTAATATCTTGTTGTAACCGGACTATTTGAATATCTCGATCATCATGTTGGTTTGTAATATCATCTAAATCCTAATCTATTCTTTGGTAATTAGTCCGAATAGTATTTAAAGTACCGTACATACCTTGGATGATATTAACGGGATTGTTTAATGGGGTACCATGTCCTCTGAAATGGTTTTCAAGTCGATTGTAATCCTCTCATAATATTTATAAAGGGATCTATATGTGCCATATCCGTATCAGGAGAATTTCTTCGTGAGTGGATTTGCTTGATTATATACTTCAAACTAGATATAATTTCACCACATTCTTATAACTGTTTTTCAATATTAGCTATATGGGATTCTTTATCCCAGACATCTTTTTTGGCTTGATAAAGTAGTTTTTTTAGAGATGAAATCTTTTACAGAAGTCGGAACTGAAACTTGACCAATATGAATCATGAAACATGTTCCTTGAATAAGATCTGTTAAATAAAAGTCGATTTTATTATCTATATAATGAAATGGCAAAATGCGATTAAAAGAAATTTCATAAGAAAAAGCATATTATATTGATCTGCTTACCAACACATTGAAAACCTATCACGTTAATATCAGCGCCTTTGCCAATTGCTGAATCCATACAGTCCTTCATGAAAACACCAAGCCGAATAAGAGTTATTTTTTTTGTGATGGCGCACTGACTTCACCAATAAATATAGCGGAATCTGTTTGGAGTTGATGAATAATTGAGACCACAAAATCTGGTTGCTTACTTCGACCTTCATACTTTCTTGACTTACTTTCATTCAGAGCCGTGTTGGGCCATTGAACGATATGTTTGTCTGGATCATGAAATGTACCCTTCATAATATTGTCTAAATAATTTGTTATAAATGTTATTTCGCTGGGTTCATTTCTAATTTTTTCAATGGGTAACGTTTCCAGGCATTTCAAAATCACAGAACCCAAGTTTTCCCTCAAATTTCGATCACTTGCAAGTTCTGTATAGAGCCAATCAGTGGCACATTCACGTGATTTTTTGTTGCTTTCTTGATTGCCTCTCTGAATTTTAATTCATATTCTGGGTTTAATGTTGTGTCCTGGACCGGCATGATTTTTTGGTGTACTCCATCAAGCAAGCGGGAACCAAATATATTGATCATTGTTTTTGAGTGAGAGTTTGTTATAAGCAAAAAAAATCGATGACAACGACAGTATTTCGTGAACATTCGATTCAACAAATAAACCTCCGTTCTTTGCAATCCTCACTGACTCATTATGATATTTCCGGAATAATTGAGACACATTAGTCTCTCCTATTTTATAATCGTCTGCTGAGTCGTCATCCTTAAAGCATAGGTCACCAACATCATCAATTATTACAATATCATTATCATCCTCAAAGAAAATATTATTCCCCAATTGCATGTGTGGTTCTTCTGGAGACCCGATTAATACTGAGCTGTTCAGGTGGTCTTAACTGTGGTGATGGTGTAGAGTATCCCGATGATATTTGGAGTTCATCCTCGTTCACTGACTGCTCTTGGTCGTTTGACTTCATCTAAATAATGAGATGGAAAAACAAATAAGTTATTTGTTGCTTGAAGAAATTAATAAGCTATAAAGCCTCACCCTTTTGGTTGAACGGATTGCTGACGTTTTTTCTTCTTCAATACTTGGCTGTTCATGATCGGAACTTGCCTGAAAGAAATTGTCAAGCAAATTCTACATAAATATAAGGTTAGTTAATGAAAAATAAGATTAGAAGTAACACGAGCTTACATTATTATCTCCTTCAGATGAACTGGAGGTCATTTCACAATATTCTGGAATTTTCCTTCCGCTTCTAGTTCCATGTTTTTCTTTTTTTGTGATTTGCTCGATCGGTTCAAAATCATCCTAAAGCATTGAAAATAATTGGTTCTGCTGATTCCCAACTTTTAGCTAAAAAACGTTCATAGGTACCTCTCCCTGTTCTTTCCCTTTTTTTTTTTCAACAAATTTGCGCGTTGTTTTCCCACTTCATTAATATAGTTATTGTGTTCCAATGTACGCCCCACAGTGAATGCATCCTAAGAAATATCAGATTATTACTTATTATAAAACAAGAGCTTAAAAATTAAGAATCGTACATACATCTAAATCTTTAAGAATATTTTTTAATTTTTTGGCATTTTGCTCTTTCTCCATATCTTCCCAAAATTCTGTCACTTCTTTAGTATTTGCCTCGCCCCTCTTATGGAAAAATTTTTTGTTAGCGATTGCTCTAATAATATTATTTTAATAACTGATGCGACTTAGAAAGACAGGTCGAACACAATGGATCATAAACGACTCAGAGCTGAACAGCTCGTATCAAACGCAATGGATCAACAACGAACTATTCAAATCATTGAGGCGCGTAGACGTGGTTATAGGCGCTAACATCAGAACGCAATGGATCATCAACAACCCAGAGTAGAGAAGTTCGTATCGAACACGATAAACTTTTCAAATCATTGAGTTATCGTTGATGCAGTGCCTACTAAAATAATGACAACTTTATTATTAGTTACTTAACTTCAAAAGTGTCCAGAGCAGAAACTACTATAGGTTGTTTGCTTGATCCACTTTCTGCTATCCTACGTAAGGTCGTAATATACGTAGAATGTTCTTTCTGCTTATCCGCTGTCCAGGTATCTTCATTCTGTCTAAACTTCAGAAATTTAAAAAGTGACCATTCCGAAGACTCTGAAAAAAAGGTTGTTTTCATTTTTTGAGAATGCTGGTTTCCAAATGTTCATAGGGTTTTTGATTGTCAGTCACATGATATCGATCGAATAGCCCATTGTTGTGGAGTTCCTCATATCTTTTTCCATCAAAAGTAAAATAATATCCAATATATGTAAGAACATATTTCATATCATAACCAGGACGAAGATTAAATGGTTTAGGTAATTCTATTTTATATTTTTTACTAATAATTGTAGTAACATCAATACCAGACATATTTATCGATTATAGATAATAATGTATTTAGCGGTTTTAACCTATTAGATTTGGTTTGATATACTATTGAATAACATGATTCAAATTTATATAGATTAGGAACTGAGAAAATAATACATATTTTATGTTATTTTAGCAAAGCTTCATTGTTTCAATAGCACAAGGTACTAATGACAGAAATTGGCCATTGTAATCTGTGGTCTGATGACAGAAATTGACCACTGTCATCATGTGGCCTGATGACAGAAATTGGTCACCTTGATATGTGACCTGACAACAAAAATTGGTCACATATCAAGGTGGCCTGATGACAGAAATTGACCACCATCGTCATTTGAGTGGGAATAATCTACACTAAGTGGCCATAACATAATTATGTTGTGGTCACTTAAAAGGCTTAAGTGATTCAAGTAGCCTATTTTTACATATATATAAGTAGTTATAATTCACTCAAAAATAAAATAAGTTTGTATGATAACTTCACTTGACTTTTTGAAGATTGAATATCTTCTCTTAATTTTAAAACTAAAAGAATTGTCCTAGTTTTTATAATTTATTAATAAATTTGAATTCTAGGTGAACCATATTTTTTGTAAAACATTATGTGACATTATTTAAAGGATTTTTGATAAATCTATCTTTGATATTTCTTTATTATATAAACTGTTTCTTGAATTTTTTTTTTTTTGAAAATTGTTCTTTTAAAAATAATTTCACTTGAATACACTGATCAAATATAAATTTGATCACAATATATTTGGATAAAAATAAATCAAAAATTTTTTGGACCTAAAACTGTAACCCAAAATTATACTTTAAAAATATAATTTAAAATTATAAAATTTTATATTTATTAATTTTATTAATTATAAATATATTAAAAATTTTTGAAAATTTGAGATCTATGAGTCTATAGTATAATGATAGTACTCCCAGATTGTAATTACAAGGTTCAAAGTTCAATATCATATAAGAGCTATATAAGAAAAAAATAATCAAGTTGCATGAAAATGGAACTTCTGGCCTTTTTATTAATTGCCAGACTGAAAAAAATCTACCATGAGGATTATATAAAGAAAGGTCTCTGATCTGATTATACAAATTATATTTGACTTAACCTCCTGATACTAGTCAAAATTCTGTCATTTAATAGTTGAATTATTATCAAATTTGATTAATAATAAAAATATTGCTAAATTCTTTTCGATTACTGTCACTCAGTATATTATTATTTTATTAATAAAGTGGTGATCAAAAATTCAACAATCAAAAATTTAACAATCAAAAATTTATTAATTAAAAGTTTAACAATAAATTGTCCAAAAATTTATTATTTATTTATCAAATAATTTTTTAACTATTTAATAAAAATTTATTAAAAGTTCATTACAAATTTATTTATTAGCAATTCAATAAAAATTTGATATTAATTTATTAATAATTTGTCAAAAATTCAACAATTATTTATTAAAAATTTGGCAACTATTTATTAAAACTATTCAGCAAATATTTGTTAACTATTTATTAAAAATTTATTAACTATTTATTAAAAACTCAACAACTATTTATCAAAACTATTTATTAAAAATTTATTGACTATTCATTAAAAATTTAGCAACTATTTATCTATTATATAACAAAAATTTATAGAACTTGTGAAAAAAATCCTTCATATTTATAAATTATTTGATATTATTTATTTATTTATTTATTTTTATTATAAATAAGTATTAAATATGAGTTTTATTAGAAATTTAATTTATTAATCTGATATTAATAGTCTTTACAATATAAATTAATTATAGCCTAATGCAATTTTCCTATTTTGATCAATTAATGGTTCAAAACCATATTCCTCAAATTAGGATCAAATGGCTAATACTCACTTGAAAATAATGCTATTATTATAGGTGAAAATATTGATTTGTTAATTGAATTATTAAAATTTTTAAATGTTTCAATTATAGATGTCAAAATGAAGTCATTGTTTATAGGGTTATATTTTTGAGCAGCATTAGATATAACTTTAGAATTTTTTCATTTAATATCTGAAACTGGTGAATTGTTGACTGTGTTAGATCGTTGTTTCCAGATTTTATATATAATTTTCAAGGCTATATTCATAAGTTAAATTTGTGATAATTTATTTGTTAATGAATTCAAATAAATATTTGATTTACCTAAAACAATATCTATTAATTTATTTTCTATGGTCGAATTAAAAATTAATCTTTTAATTGTATCTGGTTGTTTTTTCTCATTATGTTTATTATATTGATCTTTTAAAATTTTATTGAATTTCATTATTTTGTTTTAAATTGTTGGTCTACTTTTTATATAGTTAAAGATATGTATTTGATCTTCTTTTATGTAGTTATACCTTAGGTATTTTCATAAAGATATACTATAGGATATCTTGTATATAACTTGACTCTTGTTAACAATAAATTGAACATATTTAATATTATTTATATAATAATATATAATTAATTAAATTATAATAATATAAATTATAAATTATATAGTATATTATATTATAGTTTATATATAAATTGGAATTAAAAAAAAAAAACTCTTTCTGCTGATCCCCTTTTTCCTAAAAATTTCCTTATTTGATAATTTTTT